GGGGGGGGCAGGCGGAGAAAAAGGTACGTGTCACTGAGAGTGAGTGGTGTTGTGTGGCGAATCGGAGGTGGCGTTTATGCGGCGGTGTTGCGCGGGACGCGGCGAGGTCACGAGCTACCGCTACCGCGCCCGCAAGGCACGGCGGCTCGTGACGGCGGGCGGGCGGCGGGAGAAAAAAGCGCGGGGCGGGCTACGTGCTGGGGGTGCTGGGGGTGTTGTCGGTGTCGTCGGTGTCCGGGTCGTCGGGTGTGTCGGGGTCGGCGGCGGGGGTGTCGAGGTTGGCCTCTGCGGCGTTGAGCATCTCGAGGAGCTCGGGCCTGCGGAGGTCGTCGGGGAGGTCTGTGAGGAGGTGTCTGGCGCTGTCGAGCGAGTGCCACATGCGGCGGCGCTTCTTGCGCTCCTTCCAGAGCTTGGAGTCGTCCGGGTGCTGTGTGTGGACGTGCAGGAGCCACATCTTCTGCTTGACCTTGGAGCCGCGGTCGAACGCCCACACGCCGAGCTTGGGGCCCAGGTCGCCCACGACGCCGCCCTCCTCGACGGTCTCGCGCACCGCGGCCGCCTTGGGCGACTCGTCCTTCTCCACGCCGCCCTTCGGGAAGAGCCAGATGGCCGGCGTCCACCGCGACTGCACCAGCAGCACCTGCCACGAGGGGGGGTTTGTCGCGCGGCGCCGCACGGGCACGCAACCGGCTTTCTGTCGCGGGGGGTGGGAGGTGTTAGTCGAGTGTCGGGGGCGCGTGGGGAAGGGAAGGGAAGGGGGGCAAGCAGGCGCGCGGGTGCAGGCGCGCGGGACGGGGGGGTACAGTACCTTTTTGGTCATGGCGGAGGCCGCCGGGTCTGGGGCGCGCTCACGAATGGGTGAGGGAGGAAGGGGGGGGGGTGAGTCGGGGAGGTGAATCGATGAGGAGAGTCGATGAGGAGAGTCGATGAGGAGAGCGGGTAAGTGGGAGTGTGGGGAATGTGTAACGGTGGAGATATGCGGTGGGTGCACATTGTGCATTGTACAGTACATTGTACATTGTACCTTCGGTGCAAACAGGGGGCCAAGATGTAGCGAGCACCGACGAAAAGAATCGACGCCACCGCCGCGCGAATCCACACGGAACACGTCGGACCCGTGTACACATAGCACACCATGTACACGTGGACACGAACGCATCCGTGGCTTACGTGACTGCGTGGACACGTCGTCCCGCTGTACACGGTGGCAGTAATTCCATTACAATTACAACAGTACACTGATACAGTAATGCAACTTCGTAAGGGCTCTCGAGTGTATGACTGTTGACAGTCAAAACAAGCGAAAAACAGACGCTCCTGACATCAGGCAGCGTCTGTTTTTCTGTTTTTCGCTTGTTTTCACAGATCCCGCATTCCGCCCGCCCCACCACTTGCTCTTCAACCGCTCAACACTCCTCGCCCGCCCCGCCCCCCGTCCCCGCCCCAGTCCCCTCCACCGACCCCCTCCGTCCCCGACGTCCAACCCGGCGCCTCCGCCCGCGCCCCCGCCCGCCTGCCGCCGCCCGCCTGCCGCCATGGCCCTCGCCATCCTGCTCGCCCTGCTCGTCCCTGCCGCCTCGGCCTTCTACCTGCCCGGCATCGCCCCGTCCGAGTACGATGAGGGCGCCCCGCTCAAGATCCTCGCCAACAAGCTCGTGTCGGCCAAGAACGTCGTCCCGTTCGACTACTACTCGCTCCCGCTGTGCACCCCGCCCAACGCGGGCAAGAGCAACCGCCTCTCGCTCGGACAGGTCCTCATGGGCGAGCGCGCAGAGCCCACCTCGTACGACCTCTCCATGAACGTCAACGAGACCTGCAAGCTCCTCTGCGACAAGTCGTACGATCAGCAAGACGTCGCTCACTTCAAGGATCGCGTCGCAGACGAGTATAACGCCCGCCTCAACTTGGACAACCTCCCCGTCATCGTCAAGGGCAAGAACGACTTGGATGAGGAGGTCTTCCAGCTGGGATACCCGCTCGGCTTTATGGAGGGCGACGCTACCCCGTGCTTGTACAACCACCTCGCATTCACCGTCCGCTACCACAAACCCTCGGGTCCCATGTATGCCAAGGACGCCAACCAGTTCCGCGTCGTCGGCTTTGAGGTCGTGCCCATGTCCGTCGCCCACACCAAGGATGACAAGAGCGAACTTACCACCTGCCCGGTCGAGTCGAGCGCCTCGCCGCAGTGTCTCACTGCATCTTCCACCTCGGTCACGTACACCTACGACATCACCTATATTGAGTCGGAGTTGCAGTGGGCCACCAGGTGGGACCCCTTGCTCAAGGCCAACCCGGAGCTCAAGGAGATCCAGTGGTTTTCCATCATTAACTCGCTCATGATTTCCCTCTTTTTGACCGCCATGGTCGCCATGATTCTCCTCAGGACCGTCTACTTGGACTTTGCGAGGTATAATAACATCGACGATGATGAGGAGATCCAGGAGGAATCGGGCTGGAAGCTCATCCACGGCGACGTCTTCAGACCCCCCGCCGCAAGCGGCTTGCTCTCCGTCTTTGTGGGCTCTGGCGCCCAGATCTTGTGCATGACCGGCGTCACGCTTGTGTTTGCCTTGCTCGGTTTTCTGTCCCCGTCGTTCCGCGGCGGCCTGTTGACCACCATGCTTTCGCTGTGGGTCCTGTCCAGTGCCGTGTGCGGATACTATTCAGCTCGGATCTACTCTGGGCTCGGCGGCACCAACAAGAAGAGCGTGACGCTGGGGTCTGCCTTTTTATTCTCCGGCGCCACGTTTGTCATTTTCTTCGGGCTCAACTTTCTGCTGTGGGTGAGCGGGTCGACGGGCGCTGTGCCGTTTTTCACCTTGCTCCTGCTCTTGGTGATGTGGTTTGGCATCTCGGTGCCACTCAACGTGATCGGGGCGTTTATCGGATACAAGCAGAAGGCGTTTGAGTTCCCCGTGCGGACGAACCAGATCCCGCGAGAGATTCCCAACTCGTCAATATTTTCCAATGTGCTGTTTGGCCTGGCCTCGGGCATCCTGCCGTTTGGCGTCGTGTTCATGGAGCTGGTGTTCATCCTGAACAGCATCTGGCAAAACGAGATTTTCTACTTTTTCGGCTTCCTAGGCGCCGTCTTCCTAATCCTGGTGCTGACGTGCGCCGAAGTTAGCATCGTGCTGACATACCTGCAGCTGTCCAAGGAGTCGTACCACTGGTGGTGGCCCGCGTACATTTCGACGGCGTCGTCGGGGCTCTACGTGTTTGGCTACAGCCTGATATTCCTGTTCACGCAGCCGGGCCTCAAGGGCATTCATGTCGTGAGCACACTGATTTACACCGGGTACATGCTGCTCGGCTCGTTCATGTTTGCGCTCGGCGCGGGGTGCATCGGGTTTTTGTCGTCGTTTGCGTTTGTAAGAAAGATCTACGCTAGCGTGCATATCGACTAGGAGTGTGCCGGGGGGGGGGGGGTTGGGGTTGGAGGTTGGGGTTGGGGTTGGGGTTGGGGTTGGGGTTGGAATGATATAATATTTGCGAGCAATAAAGTTGGAAACAGATGTCGGTGTGAGTTTGACATGGGCTGATTTGATTCGGGGGTTTTCAAACGGGCTAGCGGTGTTGAGATTGGGTGGCGTGTGTTGAGCGTGTGGGTATCGGAGATGGGCGTGAAGGTGGGCGCGAAGGTGGGCGCGAAGACAGGCGTGAAGATGATGCACAAGTCGTCAGATAACTCGGATAACTCGGAGATGAGCGTATATATATATATATAACAGATGGCAGATAACTCGAAGATGGGCGTGTTGACTGGTGAAGATGATGCACAAGTCGTCAAGGTGGGCGCTGGAGCGAGAGGAGGTCAATTTTTGGTCATTTTTGGTCATACAGTATTTGATGCTCCAATGATCCTCCGCAAGACGCCCTCACTCGCGTGCCCACACTTACAGCGAACCCCACACCGCAAAACCCTTCTCTCCTTCCTCCCTCCCCTCCCGATCGGCATCTGGATCTACAGATAACCCAAGACCATCTTTTGCGCTTGGCTTGAAACTATTTTTGCTGTTCCCATCAACGACTGCTAGGCCTAACAACTTCCCATCCCTGACGTTGTTTTCAACATCTCGGACGATGGGTTTACTGAGAGGTAGTCCGGTAGCATAACGCATCTGCAACTCGACAGAACGCTTCTCT